AGAGAGTACAATAAACATACACTTGTTCACATTTGATCTTTGAAACTGGGTTGGAGGCTGTTTGGATCCACCACATATGGCTTCTTTGTTGGATAAATCACTATGAAGGTACTCCACCTCTGGCCAGATGTCAGAGAAAAATATGAGAAACATTCATTCATCACTACTATGAATGGGGTCACTTTGATACCCAGGAAAAAGGGCAAATAGAGGCTGATTGGTAACAGACAGCAAAAAAGAAAAAAGTTTAAGTTTGGGTGCTTACGATCTGTCTCAAGAGCAAAAAGTAATAATATCATCAGGAATATGCAGTAGAACAGCATTGAGTTTCTTACCAGGAAAACAACAGTGAACATCAGCTTCAACTCTAAATCCAGTTAGTTATTGTTCTACAGGTTTTGATTATAACTGGTTTGAATTTTAAAACACATTTGTTTCACAGAGCTGAAATTCATTTAACATGGCTGAAGTGAGGCCACCACTATTGCTCAACTGGTTGAGCTGGCAACCCGTGTACTGGAGCTATTGTCCCCAACACAGCGGTCGTGGGTTTGAATCCAGCCCATGGCCATTTGCTGCAGGTCCCTCCCTCACTCTTCTCCCCACTTTACTGTCACTCTCTATTTGCTGTCCTGTCAAATAAAGGCAAAAAGGCCAAATGGAAATTGACAAAACTCATGCTGCTGTTGAATTGAATGCCTATAGATAAATTTAAAGACACTTTTTCAATGGCTAAAGGTATACAAAAAAAAAAGAAAAAAAAAGAAAGCCATCACCCTGAATATCGCCTTTCCAACAATAAACCGGCACTCATAATAAACATGACATGAAATCTACAGCTTACAGTATGACACATTTCTGCAAATATTTTATTATATCTTTTCATGAGACAACACTGAAGAAATGACACTTTGATACAATGTAAAGTAGTCAGTGTACAGCTTGTATAACAGTGTACATTTACTGTCCCCTCAAAATAACTCAATACACAGCCGTTAATGTCTAAACCGCTGGCAACAAAAATGAGTACACCCCGAAGTGAAAATGTCCATGTACTCACTTTTGTGACATACTGTAAATACTCTTACTTGCACGAGGTAAACCTAAGCAATAAAAAATAATGTAATTCTCATTTAAATGCCATATTGTGAAGAAAGTGGACTTTGGTATTTGTGTTCTTTAGAGCTACACAAGCTGCTTTTTCAGTAATATTTGAAAAAAACACACAAAAAACCAAACTTTGTTGCATTATAAATCATCTTGCTTCCAAAACTATTCCTCTTCCTCTCAATATAGGTGATAATACAGCTTGTCATTGTACGATATATGAGATGCTTAATTTCCCAGCTCCCTTCATAAGACAACAGTGACATGGGCTGCAGCTTAGTTTTAAGTGTATGCTTTTCAATTTTCCTAATTATTTACAACAGTCCACGGTACCCTTTTCCTTTAATAATCAATTAAGACACTATATACACAACTCTTTTTCTCTGTTATTTTAGTCTAAAACTTTATACCTTAAACTCCCTTTGCTTGGAATAATATACCTGTAAATATTCACTCAATGATATTTTTTGAATAATGATAATAAAAAAGCTCTTCTTACAATATTATCAGTTGCACATGCCTATAATTATGCCTTCTAATTTTATTACTTGCTGTTATCGCAGACTATGAATGACAGATCTCATTCTGTGCTTTACCTGGAATACGATCACCTGATTCCTTACGGCTTCTTGTTAGTTTTTGTGAGTTATTTGGCATCTTCTGTCTTGTTGTTACTCATGTTTTTGGTTCATGTGCTTTCTATGGCACATCTCATGGGGATATTCCAAGAATTTCAACGTGCTTCAGGTAAAGCCAAGCAATAAAACATATTAAGAACAAATAACAGCAGGGAGACTGTGAGCCAAGAAATAACACCATACAGCCATTAGTGATGTAAACATCGATTCATATTTGTCTCAAATGGAATTAGGGAGTGTGTTTATCTAGAAGGCCTCCTCTTTAATCACCAGTCCACTTTGTTTTATCGCTCACTGATCACAAGTGTGTGAATCCATCAGAGGGCAGTGTTGTTCCCTCCAAACACACTGATAAGGTTTTAACAAACGGAAGTATGTGTGCTGTAAGTATCAATAATAGAAATGAAATCTGTGGAATGCCATCATATCAAAAATCACAAATCTGTTGTGTGGTTCTATAAAAAATTTAAAAGCCGGCTCCTGTTCTAGTTTTGCTATTTGACTAATGCTGGCTAAAACTAAACAGAATTTCCATCCATGCTTGGGCTTCATAACTTTCACTGTCCTATTTATCCTAAAATCTGCTATGAGACTACCCCCTGTCCCTCCATATTCTCAGACATGCCTATTGTATCCAGCGTGCAGCGTGTGTAATGTGCAGCGCGTAGACAAAGCGCTGTCAGTCTTGCTGCTGGAGTGGTCATGAACAATACCACGAGCCCCTTGGGCCACATTACTCTGCAGAGATTCACATAAAGGGACGACAGGAGGAGCACAGACGGCCTCTGACTAATGGGGAGAAAAAGCAAATGGACAAGAGAGTTCACATTCAGTCTGATCTCATACAGTATGATATTTTGGTCATGTGCATCATGCCAGAATGTCAGACTTCCAGCAATTTATTTCTGTTATGTACTATGAATGTTGTCTAAATTCAAGTTCAATCTTTTTTCCTTTTGTATTCAGTTGTTCCTGAATTTCTTAATCGATTGCCTGATTTTGGTCTCTTTTACATTTGGTTTTATAGATCTACTTTGTATCTAATTCTTCAACCTACTCAATCCTGTTCCGAGCTTTACATGTTTATACTCAAGTTTTCTGAAATTCTTGTCATGTCAATGCATTTGAATGTATAATTGCATGTTATTCATTTCATGTCTTCTGTCTTGTACACTGTGTGTTTGTCTTTCCTCCATCTCTACCTCTCTGTAGGTATTTCTTGCTCTGGAGCTGCATGACATGTTTAAATTGGTTTGTTCTCCGTTTGTCTCTACTATCCTTTTCGCTCTCCTCCTTATCTTATCCCTTATCTCCCCAACTGGTCGAGGAAGATGGCCGCCCTCCCTGAGCCTGGCTCTCTTTCTGCTAAAGGGAGCTTCTTCCTCCCCACTCTCACCAGAATCCCTTCTCATACAGATTCTTTGAATTCATTTGGTTTTCCATGTATAATTTTGTAGGATCTTGACTTCACTTTTTAATTAGTCAGATAACTTGTTAGTGTATATAATATTGTAGGTTCTTAACCTCAATGTCTACATTAGGCAGGTAAATGTGCATGAATAATAAAGTTAGGAAGCATGAGCTCCCTACCTGACCACATGCAGACCTTTTGTGTAGAAAGGTGGACATGAACGACACATTATTTAGTTTTCTGTTTACTTTGTTTAATCCAGTGGCTTCAGAGAAAACTGTTGAAGTTTACTTGTCTGATTAAAGCGAGCAGTATACAGAAGTCCTCACCTGAGTTTCTTCCTTGCAGCGGTCATCTTGTCCTGGAGGTTAAAGAGCGGCCACACCTCCAAAGCAGTTCTGTCATTGGTTCATTGAGGAGGTGGGATCTCACATAGATGTGTCATGATTGGCCAGTTTAAACTGGGATGGCAAGCCCCCCTTCCCTATATATAAGAGTGTACTGGGAGGGAAGCCAGGAAATGGTTTGTTCAGAAGACAGAACAATGCAGCCATGATACTGCTGAATGCACCTTGTCAGAGTGTTTCTCATAAGTTTTCTTTTTTCTCACTGTTTTGTTCGTTTTTCTTTAATTTGCAGATTTGCTGTGAACAGCTTCAGATTTTCAAGCACAATTATTTTCATCAGCATGACGTTTGTCCTCCACATGCATTGCAAGGCTACCTACACCTCTCCTCACAACAAATAACACCATGGCACCTCAGCAGCTAAACTTGTGAGGTATATTTGCAACACCAATCTTATTTCTCTACTGGAAGCTCAACAGCTCATGTGTACTGTTTAAATAATCTTATTGTGCTGCTTTACAGGCACCACAGATATAAACAAATCCCCAGCAGAAATCTAAGAGCAGATCCCTTTTCCCAGCCTGGTGGTTGGACTGTTTCGCCTGCTGTGTCGCTTGTATGTTTATGTGCTGAACTTACAAAAATTATTTATGTAAATCTCAGTCAAATCATGCTGACCTTAATTCCAAAACACTGAGCCGAAACACATGATGTGGAAGCTCTTTCTTCTTCTCTTCTTCCGTTTTTCTTTTTAATCTTTTTGAAATTTGAATTCCTACAGTAGAATTGTTATGAATATTGGGACTTAAACCAGTGGATGCTGACAGTCAGACAATTATGCACAGCGTTGGAAAAGATTCTTCAAAGCGTACTTGGCTGATTATGTCACATTTACCTATTGGTTGGTGTTACTAAACAGAGTTAGTAGCTTATCACAAGTATAGTTTTGGGTTGTTTCTTAGTTTCTAGCAGTATCTCTCATTTGTGGGTGTCTTAAATATTTGCAAAATGCTTCCAGACACACTGTTAAACAGCATAAAATCGAATTTTGCATAAAACCTTATTGATTCACAGAAATTTTAAGCAAGAAACATTTTATTTATTTATTCATTTTGAGCTTTATATGGATTTCAAATTCTCTCGCCACTTAATCCCACATCGTGAAAACACACAGAAGACAAGACTACTTCTGCAGCTTCAAATAAATATATTTACAAATTGGTGCAAACAGTAAACACAAGGCAGCAAATCCAATACCAAGGACTGTGATATTTTACAAGTTTGGCTCACAGATATACAGAAGTTCTGTTTTTTGTTTTAATAATATTTCCCTTATTTCACCCTTTTGCTGACATTAAGTTTCATTCAACTGATTCCCATAATGAAAAATCAATGTGACAGTTTAATCAGAGGATGTTCAGGTTACAACATCTGTGTAGATCTCCTCAGAAATCCCCTCAGCTCATCCTCAGCTGTGCACCAGTTTGTCCTCACAGCCTAAACATCCAGCACGTGGTTGAGATAGGAGATGTAACAGATCGCCAGTCGCAGGATTTCAATCTTGGATAGCTTTTTATCCGGTGGGAGCGTCGGCAGCAGTTTTCTCAGTTCTGCAAAAGCAACGTTGAAGGCCACAACGCGGATCCGCTCCCTGGTAGCATGCGCGGATCGATATTTAGCTGTGGCGCGCCTCCTGCGTCTCCTCTCCTCCCTGGAGCGCGCTTTGCCCTCTCCATCCGTGGACGCGGCCGGCATGGAGCCACGATGCGCACTGAGAGTGTTCAGAAGGTTCTCTCTATCCGTTTGTCCCCAGGGGAGATGAGAGTCCTGCTGATCGGGACTTAGCATCATTGTCCAAATGTTCTGCAGAAAAAAAAAAAAATCAGACTGTCAGTTTAAAGCCAGATGTTTGATCTGTTTGGAAAACAAAGGTCACTTTATGAAAACGGCTCATGCACAACTCTTTAGATGCAAATCTAGAAAAATGCATTCGTTAGTTGAAGTTGGCACAAGGATAAGTGCGGTTTAATGGATCTCTGCTGCTGATTTAATAAGCAGATTGGATTATTTATTGGCTAATTAAAAAAAGCCCAGAAACATGGAGGAGTCGTGCTGCCCCTCAGTGGCGCATCTGTGGCGTTGCTTCTTGGAGGAACCGACGCTGTCCGAGGTGCTGAAACCGTATCAGGACGACAAAAAAATAAACAAAACAACAAAAACAAACAACGAAAGTTTGACTTGTTGTCCCAAAACACCCAAAGCATCGAATCATTTGGCGTAAGCTGAGTAAAAATCATTTTCCATCTCATTGGCGAGCAGAAGGGAGAAAGCTCCGATTTATGTTCTGTTCTTTTTGTGTTTTAATTCCATTTCAGGTTTAAATATGTTTGGTTTTTAAGTTTTAACCATTCTAGAATCACTGTAGATGGAGTATGAATAAAGAGCTTTAAAACTGAACTTACCGTACACATCCAGCTGATTCAAGAAAATGAAACATCAACAGTCAGTGCAGGTAAAGTTTGCTCTCCGTCAGCCTTCATGCTGTCTCGGTCTTGATTTAGTTCAGTAGATCAGCTGAAAGCAGGACATGGGATCTGACTTAGGATGCTCTTTTGCTTTCATCTTGCTTTCAGGTTAGTGCCACTTCCTCCTGCAACATCCGCGCATTGTTGGTGTATCTGTTCCTTCTATCCAACCTCTCCTCGGCTGTGCGTAAAATGAGACACCCTCATCTCTCCATAACAAACTGGAGCGAAGTGACGACAAACGCAGCGGGACGAGGAGAGGATGTTTGCTGTCCAAACCTCTCCCTCCTTTCTCTTTTATTCTCAGCAGGTGAAATGAAGCTTTTTCTTCCCCAGTCAGGTTTGTTAGCGCAGACGTTTCATTCTAAAGGTTAGTGGCGGTAAACTGATTATATCGTCCACTTGACGTAAAACTTCTGCCAATGACGCCATATTTTCGTGCACCCTGTTAAGGTCAAGTGAGCACCTGTGTCTGAATTGAAAGAAAATCTGGTAAAAATGTGCCAGAGCCAAAACAAAAAAAAGTGCCTCTTAAGCACCTGCTGTTATCTGTGTTAAAACTTCCAAATGATTAACAAAACAGACTGCCATTTTTTTTATAATGCAACACTTAGTCATAAATGTGCATTTTGTGGATTTTAAAAACCAAAGCAGCTTAAATGCATTTAAAAATCCAAACTCCATCCATTGCCATGAAAGCTATGCACACCATAAAATAACATAAAGCCTAATGTTGTGGTTGCAGTTGTGTTTTTGTAGCCTCTTGTTTATGGTCAGATGTGTTAGGGTGGCTCTGGCATTTTGATCCGCTCATCTCCCTGAGCGAAATGTCAGTGCTAATCATTACTAACATAATCACTGCGAGTAAATCACCAGAGGGCCTCCACCTCGGTGGTGCTGGTGGAAAATGTTTCCTCAGACACTGTCAGAAATGGCACCACAAACGCTCAGTTGGGATCATGTGTGGTTATTGAGAAGGCCTTGGCATATGGCTAATGTCGTTATCATTCCCTCCAAGCCGCCGTGTGACCGTTTCTGTCCTGTCGATTTGGGAAATGACGCTCATCACAGGAAAGAGGCATATGTCATGTGGTGAAAACGAAGCCTTAAATTGTTATCTAGTGAACGTTGATATTTGTTGACCTTTATCAGGGAGGACTTGATGGATTTGAGGGCGTTGATGCATCCTTTAAGCTGCATTTCTTCAGTGTAGTTACGTTTAAGTTTCATTGATTTGGACATGTGGTCAATATTGAGCGCTGGGCTTGAATTGAAATTAAACTTTAATTACAGGGAGTAACTGCTTGTATCTTGAAATTTCTCTCTGTTTCCTATATTATGACATCATATTGAAGCCTTTTAAAATGTGTATAAATCCTTCTTTAGATACATGAAGGACAAAAAGAGACACATTTGTTTTGGTCACTTTAGTTTTCTGACATGCTGCTCGTTCATTTAATTTACTTTTACACTGACCAATTGTTCCTATATCTGCCTGTACAGCTAATTTTTATTATCATTTTTTTTCAAATTGTGGGTTAGGCCCCTAATTTACTCTTACACTGTAGTATCCCAGTGCTGCAAGGTGCAGCGGTGGTTAGCACCATTGCCTCGCAGCTGAAAGATCCCTGGTTCGCGTCCCGGTGAGGGCACCTGAGATCTTTCTGTGTGGAGTTTGCATGTTCTCCCCGTGCAGCATGGGTTCTCTCCGAAATCTCCGGGTTCCTCCCACAAGTCCAAAAACATGTTGAGGTAATTGGTGATTCTCTGTAGGTGTGAATGTGAGTGTGCTTGGTTGTCTGTCTCTAAGTGTAGCCCTGTGATAGACTGGTGACCTGTCCAGGGTGTCTCCTGCCTTCACCCTGAGTCAGCTGGGATAGACTCCAGCCCCCTGCAACTAGTGAGGATTAAGTGGTGTATAGATAATAGATGGATGGATGGAATGTTCCATTCAATGGGTATCAATCTGAACCCCAACACTGAAATGAATAAAATTAAAATTTCTACTTTTCCCATTCTTAAAACAACGAACAAAAGAAAATGATTTTTTATTATCATTTCATCATCAGTGCTTTCATTGTTAAAGATTCACTTAAAAGGTGGTTTGAAAGGCCAGTTGATGGAAAGCTCCTGGTGGTAAAATAAGTCAAGTAAACTTGTCAGTCTAACAACAGATCCATTTTGATCAGGGTTCCTTCTATGATAAATGAAACCACAAAGTACAAGATCCAAGTGATTTTGGGATTATATTCTTTTCTTGCAGCTTTGTTGCAAAGAGATTGCAGCAGCCTTGTATGTACAAGTCAGGGAATATACACACAAGCAGCATTTCTGTGCCAGTTCTTCTTTTTTATCTATTTCCTCTTTTCATTTGTTTTGAGAGAGATGTCTTTCATCCAGAAGCTCCGGTTTCGACTGCAGCCGAACTTCACAGGAGGCCTAATGAATAGATAATGCCAGATTTCTTCACATGGATGCTGCTGTGGCGTGTAAATTTCCCCCAATGGGGGATCAATAAAAAAAAAAAGAAGTATTCTATTCTATGTCAGAATTTGAAGTCTACGCTACAGATTCTGGAGGAGCTCGGACACCTGTCCACTTGATGTCAGTGTTATAAAAGACTCAAAATGGGCAGAACTCAAAAACAACCTCATTAGAGTCACTCGTGACCAAACACTGTAATGTGAAGACTTTCAGGTTCTTTGCCCTTTGCTGCTCTCCACCTCATCTCTCCTCCTCCTCTAATGGCTTCTTCTGGCTTTAACTCCTCATCTGTCTCAGACTGGACACCATCTGTTTAAAGGACACAGTCACAAGCCTCACATTTTCATCTCCTCCTCCTCCTCATCTGTTCATACATTCATGGGTGCACCTGTGTGTTATGAACATGCACAAGTTAAATGTTTTTGCTAACAAACAGTAAAACACTTTTTATGCCTCCTAGTTAAAACTTTACACCAAGGTTTGTGCGCTATCTACATCACGGCTGGCAAAACTGTTCCTCTCACTTTCCATCACTTTTATGCTCTGTCAAGTATATTTGTCATCTTTTGTAACCCCCATGTGTTATCAAACCGCGCACTGTAAATGTAAATGAGGTGAAGTAGTTTAATTTTAATGTGATTTTTCCCGCCCCTCTCCCTCAGTCATCCTCTCTGTCTGGTTAACATCTGCTGTCATATTTTGTTTCTGCCGATTTGGAATTTGGTGACATTGTAATCGATCAGCTTTGGGACGGAAGAGGAGAACAGAGGAGGGGAGGAGAGTTGAAGTTTGATGAAATGTTTTGATGTGAACTGACTTTACCTTTCCTTTTTCATCACTGGAGGAGTCTTCTAGAGAAAAAGAAAACTATTTAGCAGAAAGTACCAACATAAATACTGAGTTTATGAGGAAGAATGAGGAAGATATGACAGACTGAGTCACCAAAATGCAATTTGGCACAAAATAACTGGCACGATTGGGAGCGGTTTTGACTGATTGTACTTGCAATTCATGAATAAAAGCACTGTAGTGTCAAACAGGCTTGAAACGGCTTCACAAGGTCACCACAATTGCTGAACTAACCGGACCAGTGATCATTATGTCAAAATGCAACAGGTCCACTGAATATAACATCCATCCATCCATTGTCTATACACTGCTTAATCCTCACTAGGGTTGCGGGGGGCTGGAGTCTATCCCAGCTGACTCAGGGTGAAGGCAGGAGACACCGTGGACAGGTCGCCAGCCTATCACAGGGCTACACTTAGAGACAGACAACCAAGCACACTCACATTCACACCTATGGACAATTTAGAATCACCAATTAACCTCAACATGTAGGGGAGAACATGCAAACTCCACTGAATATACCAAATTCTGCAATTTGTAGACAGGCATTCATAAAATACAACACACTTGAAGAAATAAAGTTTTAATGAATATCCTCACCAACTTTGTGCCATGCACTTTGCAGAAAGTAAAGTTTTAAAGAAAAGTGCAACGTTATACTTGAATTCAGTGGAGGAATCTTCTTTTACACTGTTTACTGACAACAAAACAAGTCACTCTAACAAGTTTTTAGACAGTTTTCATTCCAGTCTGGCACTTTAGCACATGTGGGCATAATCCCCAAACGTAAAGTAACTGGAAAAAAACAATTCCAAGGAGGAGAAAGAGGTTGTAAAGAGGCTCAGATAAAACATAATTGATACAGAGAAGCCTAAATGGAAAAGAAGAGCAGATGGATTTGTTGTACATCTAAGAATACCACTGGGGAGGACTTGAGAAATTGTTTTTTGTGACTTATTTTGAGAGTTACCGCCTTAAAACAAAAACAGCTACTTCAGTTTGCTCTTTATTCTAACTACCAAGGACGTGGGCTTAGCCAAACACAGTCAGAGAAATTAGAGAGGACACCTGTTTCTTACTCCGCAGGGGCACTTAGTGGACAGAGGGAAAAAAGGCATACCAGCATGTTTACGTGACAGAGGGAGACTTTCTCTTCAGTTCGAGAATTTTTTTCTAGAAGCAGAGGCTCTTATCTTGGCGCATGCCTGTGTGGTAACATCAAATAAATACGCGCAAGGTTTGTCTGTCATCCACTCTGTTTACAATGTAACTCAGTACATTGTCACAGTTCAGTGAACATCTCTTCATCGCGTTGCCTTCAGGGGGTGTTTTGGCTCAGTCTGACAAACACATAATAAGTGACTTATTATCTGGATGAGAACAGAACACGCTGAAATAGAGCAGTAATGTACCACTTCATATTACTTTTTAAAGTTACAAAATATTAAAAAAAAAAAAAAAAAGGGCAGCATGTGTTTGCGAACTGAAATGAGGTCACAAGGAGTGACAAAGATGCAAGGAAAAGATAAAACCATAAATAGAAGACAGAAACAATGCAGTGTCAGTGAGTCATTGTGACGAGTTTGAACTCATTATTTCAAGTGGTGCTGCACAGAATTTACAATTATACTCTGCTAATGCTGCCCTTTTTCTATTTTTACTTATAAGTAGAAGGTGTGCATTCCTCTTTATATTAGGATCATCTGTTGCCAGGAAACTGTCACTGCTGTCAGTAATAGGAAACCCTCAGAGCTCCTTTGTAACTGAGCAGTTTATTGGTCTGCAAACTGGCTGAAACACTTGCACGGTAATCATCAGTGTAGATTCTAATTATTTTTGTGCGTCTGACCTGCGGTGCCCAGTTGCGAATGTGCAACACAATCAGTTCATCACTAATCGAACTGAGCCTCATTACTTCTGAATACATGAAGCACTGCGAGATCTTAGCATTAATCCAAATGGACACACACAAGATTACTGAGGAAGCAAAGGTGAGATGAAGATTGAATTGCACCTTTCTCTCTCGAGGCATTCATTGTTATCCATTATTGTAGCAGGATGAAAACTGTTTTAATCTTCTTTCTGTTTCCTCCCAGTATATTTAATTCACTCTTATTTTGCGAACTCATTAGGGTCTCTGCTTTATCCACATTTTTCCAGACTAAATTAAGAGAAAATGCACCTTGAGAAAACTCCATGCCAGCTGTGACATACTCCAGGTTATATATTTGCATATTTACCTGTTTTTGATTAAATAACATCACATTTCTTCGAGGACTTTATATTCATGTCTACCTGCGTTCTTTGCTTCTCTGTGCCGCCCCTCACAAAACTGTCAGAGAATGAGGGAGTCGAAGGAGGATGAATCACACATTTCTTTTCAGGCGGTGCCAAAGGCGTCTAATATTAAACGTGACAGATGGTTAGATACACATGATGTTATTTTTAAGTCAGAAACTGAAACGCATGCAGGTGACAGACATTTGCTTGTTAGCACTCTCTGGCCCTTTTTATATCCTTCACTGTTTCACACGGAATTCAAAGTTACTGCGACATAAACTGGGCTGTTGTCCAATCGCACTCCGTCTCTCACTGCTGACTCCTGCAGTACTGTCACAGAGGATGAACAAATGGATTTGGGGTTAAAGAGTTTCTTTTTGAAAGCTTTGTCTTCTGGATTGTACTTATGAGGAAGACAACAGAGATATAGAGTTTTTTTTTTGTGACCACATCAACTACAGTAGAAAGTCTTAACAGCTTTGGTTTACAAAAGAAAAGCAGGCGTTTGATATGAACTCCAAACTTCATATGAACATCTAGCAATGCTGCATTGAGTAGCAAGTCCAAGAACAAATGAGAAAATGGGATTTCCCTGCTGTAAATGATGCAACGTGTCTCTAAATACTGCTCTGTAAGTACACACTATAAAACAACATCCATCCATTATCTATGCACCACTTAATCCTCACTAGGGTCGCAGGGGGCTGGAGTCTATCCCAGCTGACTCAGGGTGAAGGCAGGGGACACCCTGGACAGGTCACCAGTTTATCACAGGGCTACACTTAGAGACAGACAACCAAGCACACTCACATTCACATTCACACCTACCACACCAGTCACACCTACGGACAATTTAGAATCACCAATTAACCTCAACATGTTTTTGGACTTGTGGGAGGAAACCGGAGAATCCACGCTGCACGGGGAGAACATGCAAACTCCATACAGAAACCTCCTGGGTGTCCTCACCGGGACGTGAACCGGCGACCTTCTTGCTGCAAGGCAACAGTGCTAAACACCGAGTCCCCTTGCAACTATAAAACAATATATTTGAAGAAATATCATTTGATAGAAGGAATTGTGGTATTTTTCTCTGTCACATACTGATAACAAAATCACTATCAAGGGTGTTGATATATAAACAAATGTTGTCAGCTGGGGTTAAATGGGGTCAGGTTCAGTGATTTTCTTTTTTTTGAAAAAGAAATAAATTATTATTGTTATTGGTCTTTTAATTGAAGACTCTCCAATGTGTTTGGTCATTTGGTTATGTTTTGGGTAAGCTTGAGGTCAAGTTAAATGTCATCCAACACATCTGGTTGGAGTTCAGTTTAGATTCAGGTTAGGAAAACACATATCAATGGGAAAAAATGGCTGCTCACTTTCCTCAGAATCTACTCCTGAGTGCTGGAACGCCAACCACTTTGTAACCCTGCCAAGCAGCTGTGCTGAGAGTGCACCAAAAGTATCACAGTAAATCCTGCCGCTCTGTTTACTTACGGTCATTCTGGTGATTAGATCAGTGACATTAATCTGTTAAAGGTCGCAGTTTGCATGCTTTACAATGATGCTGTTGTGCCAGTATATAGCCACAATTCATGACTCGCCATCTGGAGGGTCATTACTCACTTTGGATATTCACTATTTGTGATTGGACCATAAATGCATCAAATCAATCTCCTCGCTGCGAGAGAAGCCAGCCGCTGTCGCCACCTAATGGTAAAAAGCCAGAAGTAATTTTCTGTATGATAGAAAAGTGGATGGAGTGTGGAATAATGAGTCCCTCGGCACAGAGCGTTGTGGCCTCGCTTCTATTTTACTCAAATAACAGCACCTGAACTTGGCTGCTTTGTTTCTGTTGGAGATGGAGACGTGATGCTGATATTCTGTGGAAAGAATCCTCACAGCAGCTCCACAGTAGCAACCCTCTGAACAAATATTACACAAAATCTATAGAATCCATAACCATGAAGGGAAGTCATGAGCCATGATTGTATTTTTCTTGAGGGGAAACTGCTCAGACATTCATGTCTTTGCTCATTTGTATTTCTGTTCTGAAGTTCTGGGACGTGCTGCTGCATTAACAATGATTATAAAAACAGAATTTGAAAAAAATGTGGCATCCTTCCAGAAAAAAAGAAGAGATTAAGATGTCCTCATTTGTCTTTTCACAACAAGCACTCCTGATAACAGCCACTTCAAACACAGGCTTTGGACTTCTGGCTCCTGACCCCTGAGGCTCTGGGGTGCTTTCATGGCAGGCCAGTTTGATAATCCATCCAGGGGCAGCATAATGTGTCCTTGTAATAGATTTATATATTTATTTCCTATTTTTATTTGAATTGTGTGTATTTGTTTGTGTGTTTTAACCACCCATCTTGTATTTTGTCCTATTCAGTATAGTTGTTTTGCTGTACAGTCGTCTTTAAATCGATTTTTAATGTCTTATGTTTTGTCAGTTGCTGGTAAAGCTGCAGTTGATTTGACTCAAAGTGTTCAATAAATAAAGTTTGACTGCTAGATTATATCAGTGTTTGTGAGATGCATATTCTTATTCTACTTTTTCTGACATTTGTATGCTGCTGCAACACATCTTGACTTGCAGGATATGTTTTATTTCTATGAATAAAATCTTTTGAACCCACTTTTGCCACATGATGGCACTGTAGGGCGCTTTCTTTGTTGTATCATTATCCAGCATCCATCATCAAGATCAACAAGATGGAAATCATCTGTCACTGTGTGTGTGTGTGCACCTTTTTATGCCCCTGTGTACTCTGTAATTTACATGGTTGTGGTTTTATGTAACATTAAAGGTTGCCTGCAGATGTTTCTTTTATGCTTTACTGTAAGCAGAATAAAACAACAGTCTTAATCGGCGCGAGCAAAATACCTGAGGCTCGTCGTTGAAAGAGTGTTTCGCACATTCTGCTACATGCATGTGTTGGGTGTTTGGTGAACACAGAAAACAGTGTTGCAGCAAAATATCCTGGGATCGTGTAGCTCAATACATCACAAAGCATGAAAACACACACCCTGGGCAATGCACACGATCCCTTTCCGGCACAACAGAGAGAATGCAGCCAGAGGCTCAATGTGAAGCACAATGAAGACCAGCATACTCGTGTGGTGATGGCATTAACAACAGACTGGCCATAAAGATGAAATGACACAGCCTCAGAAACACCAGGATGCCTCCTAATTGTACAACAATCCTGGTGCTGGTTGGACAACCGATCTGTGAAACTCAAATCCATCTCAATAACTGAGAAATAAGAGAGACAATAGAAAGAAAAATAGCTGAGAACACATGTCCATATGTTTCACTCATGTGGGATCCCTGTAAGCCCTCTTTCCTCCTCACAGTGGCTAAGTAAATGGGACTTAAGACTTGTTGCGGGTCCAGATGTGTGCCAGCTCATGTCTGCCTTTGATGCCCGTTGCTGTGTCTTTTCTTTTCTTTTTTTTTTTTTAACAGGCCAACATTCGTGAGTGGCCTCGACCGCAGGCAACTGTTTCTTTAGAGAAAACTAATGTAAAGGAAAACAGAGCTGGAAACCAGCAACAGTAGAGTGAGAGGATCACTTGACCACAGCTGCTTCATGTGGTCCGAAGACAATAGGAGGGGCGCCCAACTTTTAAACATTTTGTTGACAGACAGACGTGCGTGCTCTCAAATGCCCACACAGTTAGTGCATAAAAGACTCTGCACAACAGAGACACGGGCAAACATTGTTTTGAAGTAGAGGAAGTGTGCAAGAATACTGTGGAGAGTTTATCTTTAAAACGTCTTTTGCTTACTGTCA